ACCCCAGCCAGGTGTTTGTCCAATCTCCTCTTAAATACCTCCAAGGAAAGGGACAGCACCACCTCCCTTGGAAGTGTATTCCATATTTTGGCAACCCTCACTGTAAAGATTTTTTTCCTGATGTCCAACCTAAATATGCTCTCCTTCAGTTTGTGGCCATTGCTTCTAGTTACCCCAATGGGTGCTCTGGTAAACATCGTATCCCCTATTTCCTGCTGTCCCCCCACAATGAGCTTGTAGACGGCCACAATATTACTTCTCCGCCTTCTCTTACGGGGGCCTGAAGAGATTCAGGTCCCTCAATCTGTCCTTGTAGGGTTTTTCTTATAATCCTTTAACCAGACAGGTGGCCCTCCTCTGAACCCTTTCCAGGTTATCTACATCCCTTTTGAAGTGCGGCGCCCAAAACTGGATGCAGTATTCCAGCTGCGGCCTAACCAATGCTGCATAAAGGGGAAGTATCACCTCCTTAGACCTGTTTGTGATGCACCTACTTATGCAAGAAAGAGTGCAGTTAGCTTTACTTATTACTTCATCACATTGGTATCTCATGTTCATTTTGGAGTTGACTACAACTCCGAGATCCCTCTCCGCTGTTGTGTTACTCAGTATGATACTTCCCAGGCTACAGGTGTGTTGATGATTCTTCCTCCCTAGGTGCAACACACAAACCTGCCAGAAAGGGAAATGAATCCCAGTCTCCTTGCACCAGTGTCTGACTGGGATCAAGGACAAATTCCCAGAGTTGCTTATATCTGGCATACTGTTCTCCCCCGGCCCTGAGCCCTCAGGTGTGACATGTCCAAGGGAAATTGACACTGATCTGGGGAGCTGTAATATCATTGTCTCTGTACATGGAGTTGGAATGCCACAGCCCCCTCTTTCTCCTGCTTTCAGGCTGAGTTTCCACTGAGTCCCACCTGCTTCATCCCAGCTTAGGTCATTGGGGATCTCCATTCCCTGTTTCTGGCTTTGCTCCTTCCCCAACCTTTCATTTCCACTTCACAGCTGCGCATAACAGGGATGGTTGTAGGAGTCCCAGATCATGTAGGATATTGGCAGGGTGGTTCCCTTTGTTTTGTTGGGGAAGTAAATCTCCTGGGATTTGGGGCCTGCAAAGCTCCTCACCCCAGACCCTCATGAGGAAAATAGAAGACTTCTTACGTCACCAACAGCCGGTGTTTCCTGGGTGGTGTCTAGTGGAGCAGGGTGAATTCCCAGGGTCCCCCTCCTAGGCAGGGTGTTCTCCCTGTGAGACACTGCTGTGAAAACAGGTTCGCCATGGGAAACTTGGGGCTCCTGGACTGCAGTCTCTGCTGGTGACATTATGATGGCAGTCTCTCCCTTGTAGGTACAGCATTATGTTGGCAGAAGGAATAGCTGCACTGGCTCCCTGGATGATGTGAGCTAAAACACACAAACACACTGCCCTGTCCTTAGACCTGTATCCAAGCTGACCCTTTGTGGAGCGTGTGTCAGCTGAGGAGTAAGATCTAGGTTTGTTTAGGCTGGAGAAGGCTGGAGCAGGAGACTGATGGTGTAATGCTTGTGACTGCAGCTCCTGGAGGCCTTTGAGGATGTGGCTGTGTACTTCACACGAGAGGAGTGGGAGCTGCTGGAAGCTTCGGACAAGGGGCTTTACCAGGACCAGATGCTGAGGAATTACCAAGCACTTGTTTCCCTGGGTAACGTTCTGATCCTTGTTTCCTCCCAGAGCTGAGAGAGATCAGAAATGTCCCATGCTTCTCCTTGTTACCTTACAGTCATATTGTTGTGCATTTTTTGCTGGTGGTTTAAATGTAATTTTGCCCCACTGCCCTGTCATCGCTCAGGTCTCTTGTCCACTTTGTGTTTTCATATCCTCTGGTGGAAATGCACGTCACCTGTCCTCACCTTTGTGCCTCCAAAAAAAAGTTGTTGGAGGCACAAAGGTGAAGCAAAAAGACTCTTGCACCACAGATGCATATGAGTCATGGCCTCAATAATGCCAGTAATGGATTGTACCACTCAATTGTGGCTGGATGTCTGCTTTGTGGCAGGAACTTTCTCCAGCTGCTCTGGAGGCTTGAGGGCCCAATCCTGCAAACCTCTTAAATATCCAGGCAGGATTGGGCCCTTGTAATCCCTGCCTGGCTTTCCCCTATTTAAGAGATGTGCCCTGGGGAATCTTGAGGTGCATCTCATTAAATGCAGAAAACCAGGATTTGTCCACTTACGGAGACGCACCCCTGGGATCTCTAGAAGTAGGG